CTTTGCCATGGTGGAGAGTTTGGAATCTGATGGTTTGATGGCTCCTGTGGACAGGTGTCTTTTATACAGGTAACACAATGAGATTAGCAGCACTCCCTTTAAGAGACTGCTTCTAATCTCAGCTTGTTACCTGTATGAGAGACACCTGGGAGCCAGAAATCCTGCTGAATGATAGGGGATCAAATCCTTCTTTCCCTCATGAACATGCAGATCCGTCATCATTTGTTAGACGCATTTCTGCTGAATTTGTTGTTGTATTCTGTCTCTCAGTGTTACACCGAACATTCCATTGTTAGACCGATCATTTCTGTGTGAGAGGGGCGAACATTCCATTGTTAGATCGATCATTTCTGTGTGAGGGGCGAACATTCCATTGTTAGACCGATCATTTCTGTGTGAGGGGCGAACATTCCATTGTTTTCTGTGTGACCGATCATTTCTGTGTGAGGGGCGAACATTCCATTGTTAGACCGATAATTTCTGTGTGAGGGATCGCGAAACATTCAGCATCAGGGGGGCAAATACACATTTCCTTCACTGTATGTTCTAATACACAAAGTCTCGGAGGGAAATCAGCAATATGTTTATAATTCGAATGTGATTTCGTTTTCTAATGCGATTTGAATTTCGGATGAGATTTTCCTTCCTTTTTTCAGTTTTGTTTTTTTTTTAAAAAGTGTTATTATTGTAATTTGGAAATTTGGATACATCTGAATCTGTGAATACAATGACAGGTCCACTTTATTTCAGGGCAGATGATTGTTTTCTGCCCCGCGGGCTGTTTTCTCCATCGAATTCCCCGAAGTGTCCTGAGCTGACAAATCAATGAGCGATCGCCCACAAAACACCTCCGGTAATTGCCATCCCGCCGGCGGGCACGGTCCTGTCGGTGGCGTCTCTCTGGTCCCGCTCTCCATGGATGATCACAGGACGCGCTACGCTGAGTCGGCAAAGCGCAGATGATGCGATTATTCCGGGGGAGTCACAAGAGACGGCGGGTGTTCAGCTCAGGGGATTGGGGATAATCTTCACTGGCTCAGCGCCGGCAAACATTGCGTCTGTTATAAGAGGCAGATATCGCGCCACGGGGGGGGGGGGGGGGGGGGCAGGGATGCTCATTCAGCATCAGGACCACCGCACGTGGACACGGACACCCCCGCATACAGCAATAAATGACGCCGTGACTTCCCTGGGGGGGGCACAATGACAGCCCAAGAAGAAGATCTGTCAGCAGACGGTCACACTGACAAGTTATCACAACGCAGGAGGAAGAGCCGACCAATTAAATCCATCCGCACAGAACGCATCTGATATCGGGGCAAGGAAAGAACAACAGAGCAATGGCCGCCATGCCTGGGGAGCGTGCATGGAGGATGCATGGAGGATGGATGGAGGATGGATGGACTCGTCCTCCAACACTGAGCCAAATATTAAGAGTATATCCCTGCCATGACATCACTGCTATGAGATTAGGAGATATCTCACTGCTATGACATCACTACTATGACATCACATGTGAGATTATGAGGTATAGCACTGCTATGAGTTTAGGAGGTATCTCACTGCTATGACATCACTGCTATGACATCACATATGAAATTATGAGGTATCTCACTGCCATGACATCACTGCTATGACATCAGAGATTAGGAGGTATCTCACTGCCATGACATCACTGCTATGACATCAGAGATTAGGAGGTATCTCACTGCCATGACATCACTGCTATGACATCAGAGATTAGGAGGTATCTCACTGCCATGACATCACTTATACCCTACCAGAAGGGGATCTCAGACTTTCATAAATATATACACATAATTTTAAGAAATACAATATAATATATAACAGATGTATGAGAAGATCGCCACATAGAAACACAAAAGATGGATGGGTGGAATAGGGATGGATTTGTGCACGATGGATGGACAGTAGGGATGGATAACAGAGAGAATGACTAAGGGATGAATGGATTTATGCATAGAGTGATGGTAAGATGGATGGATGGATGAGGGAGTGATGGACAGACTGACGGATGGATGAATGAATGAGGGAGGGATGGATTGATGGACAGACTGATGGATCGATGAGGGAGGGATGGATGGATTGATGGACAGACTGATGGATCGATGAGGGAGTGATGGATGGATTGATGGACAGACTGATGGATGGATGAGGGAGTGATGGACAAACTGATGGATGGATGGAGTGATGGACAAACTGACTGATGGATGCATGAGCGATGGATGGTTTAATAAGGGACTGATGGACGGACAGATGGATGAATGAGGGAGTGATGGATGGATGGATAAAGGATTGACGGACAGACAGACTGACAGATGGATGAGGGAGTGATGGACAGATGGACGGATGGATGGATGAGGGAGTGATGGACAGATGGATGAGGGATAGATGGACAGACTGATGGATGGATGAGGGAGTGATGGACAGACTGATGGATGGATGAGGGATAGATGGACAGATGGATGAGGGAGTGATGGATGGATAAAGGATTGACGGACAGACAGACTGACGGATGGATGAGGAAGTGATGGACAGACTGATGGATGGATGAGGGATAGATGGATGGATGGATGAGGGATAGATGGACAGATAGATGGATGGATGGATGAGGGATAGATGGACAGATGGATGGATGAGGGACGGATGGATGGATGGATGAGGGATAGATGGACAGATGTATGGATGGATGAGGGATAGATGGACGGATGGATGGATGAGGGATAGATGGACGGATGGATGAGGGATAGATGGACAGATGGATGGATGGATGGATGGATGAGGGATAGATGGACAGATGGATGGATGAGGGATAGATGGACGGATGGATGAGGGAGTGATGGACAGACTGACGGATGGATGGGGGAGTGATGGACAGACTGACGGATGGATGGATGAGCAATGGATGGAAGACTCGGTGGATGGATAAATAATGGACAGACAGGCGGATGGATGGATGGATGAGCAATGGATGGAAGACTTGTGGATGAATGGATGGATGAGCAATGGATGGAAGACTCGTGTACGTATTAATAATGGACAGACAGGCGGATGGATGGATGGATGAGCAATGGATGGAAGACTCGTGTACGTATTAATAATGGACAGACAGGCGGACAGGCCGGCACACACATGCGGGTTACCTGGCTCCGACGATGATCTGGTTCCGGTTGGGGTCGAGCGCCAGCTGGGAGAAGTCGTGGACGTCGCTGTAGGTGAAGTTGCACAGCCAGGGCTTCAGTTCTGCACGAGGGGAGAAGAAGAATGCGATTATCTCTGACTCCGGGCGCCATGACACGCTAATTGTTACATGCGGAGCGCGTGATTACCGCTTACTAATTTCTGACTCTGATAATTCCCCGTTCTGATCGGAGACAATGAGCGCCGCGAACCCGACAAACGCAGGAGAAACCGCACAGCTGAGCGCTACCATAAAGAGGAACTCTAGACCCGCCCCCCCCCCAAAAAAAATCTTCATGTACAATCCACTAAATGATTTCTGTTCTCATCACCGACAAATCCAATCTTCATTCCTCCCCCATAGATCCCGGCACACCACGCTCACCGCAATGCCACCAGGATCTGCTACTACAAAGCACAGCTACACTAACATGTTTCAGGCACTGGGAGCTGCACCCCAAATGTGTTTAGACCGAGCGCTGCTTTTCAGCGCGTTCCGGCATTTCGCATGCATAGCGGTCCAATCATATCAGTAGATGGCCCCACACGCCAGAAATGCAGGAAAGAAGTCCCCAAGGCCCCATTCACACCTAGCGTGTTTTTTTTGCGTGTTTTCATGCAACACGCATGAGGCAGCCCATTCATTTCCAGGCCCATCCCGTGTGAAACAAAGTGGGCAGCTTTTTGCCGCATTCAGTTTTGCATTTACTGCATGTTTTGACGTCATCGTTGAGCATTTTTTTTGCCATTTTGCGTGCGTTTCCACAATCAGCACCATGAGGGGTCCGCACAGGGGCGGACTGACAACTCATGGGGCCCCCGGGCAATAGGGGATCATGGGGCCCCTGTGTCCTTGCCCAAACTCAAACAAGCCTATGAAAAAGGTACCAGGGGCATCTCATGGGGCCACCAACTGACCCCGGGCCCTCGGCAGTGCCCGAGTATCCAAATGGTCAGTCCGCCCGTGTCTGCAGACGCATGGAGGTGCCGCTGACGATGAATAACACCGCCGCATATCCGCTAAAGGACGACACATTTGTTTACTTGTCGGGAAAGCGTGCGATTTGGTGCAAATTCCTGAAACGCCGGAGGCTGAACCTAGCCTTACGTTCTGTTCATACGATAGAGAGCGCTCGGGGGTTGGGCGGTCCCTTCTGGGAAATGGCATTGCAGAGGGTGAGGGGGAGCCATTAACAATGAGTGTTCGTGGTGAGGACTGAGCTGGACGGACTGGACCAATCACTGCTTGTACCCAATGGTGGATATGGGCAGCAAACCCTGTTGGGGTTCGGGCTGCTCCTCCACCCCCCTCTGCCAATCCCTCCACTGACCTCCATCCCCTCTGCCAATCCCTCCACTGACCTCCATCCCCCTCTGCCAATCCCTCCACTGACCTCCACCCCCCCCTCTGCCAATCCCTCCACTGACCTCCATCCCTCCCTCCACTGGCCTCCTTCCCTCTCTGCCAATCCCTCCACTGGCCTCCACCCTCTCTGCCAATCCCTCCACTGACCTCCACCCCCCTCTGCCAATCCCTCCACTGACCTCCATCCCTCCACTGGCCTCCTTCCCTCTCTGCCAATCCCTCCACTGGCCTCCTTCCCTCTCTGCCAATCCCTCCACTGACCCTCCATCCCTCCACTGGCCTCCTTCCCCCCTCTCTGCCAATCCCTCCACTGGCCTCCTTCCCTCTCTGCCAATCCCTCCACTGACCTCCACCCCCCTCTGCCAATCCCTCCACTGACCTCCATCCCTCTCTGCCAATCCCTCCACTGGCCTCCACCCTCTCTGCCAATCCCTCCACTGGCCTCCACCCCTCTCTGCCAATCCCTCCACTGGCCTCCACCCCCTCTGCCAATCCCTCCACTGGCCTCCACCCTCTCACTGCCAATCCCTCCACTGGCCTCCCCCCTCTCTGCCAATCCCTCCACTGGCCTCCACCCCTCTCTGCCAATCCCTCCACTGGCCTCCACCCCTCTCTGCCAATCCCTCCACTGGCCTCCACCCCTCTCTGCCAATCCCTCCACTGGCCTCCACCCCTCTCTGCCAATCCCTCCACTGGCCTCCACCCCTCTCTGACCAATCCCTCCACTGGCCTCCACCCCTCTCTACCCAATCCTCCATCCCTTTCCACTCAGTGTCCTCCATCCCCCTCTATGCCAATCCCTCCACTGGCCTCCACCCCTCTCTGCCAATCCCTCCACTGGCCTCCATCTCTGCCAATCCCTCCACTGGCCTCCCCCCCTCTCTGCTATCCTCCACTGGCCTCCACCCCTCTCTGCCAATCCCTCCCCTGCCTCCACCCCTCTCTATCCCTCCACTGGCCTCCACCCCTCTCTGCCAATCCCTCCACTGGCCTCCACCCCTCTCTGCCAATCCCTCCACTGGCCTCTATCCCTCTCTCTGCCAATCCCTCCACTGGCCTCCTTACCTCTCTGCCAATCCCTCCACTGGCCTCTATCCCTCTCTGCCAATCCCTCCACTGGCCTCCACCCCTCTCTGCGAATCCCTCCACTGGCCTCCATCCCCTCTCTGCCAATCCCTCCACTGGCCTCCATCCCTCTCTGCCAATCCCTCCACCGGCCTCCATCCCTCACAGAACGCGTTGGCTTGATGTACTTGTCATGCCTCCTGTTTCTGTACATCGAGGGAAAGCACATGATTTTGCGCACATTCCCGCAATGAGTAGATGTGAATGCAGCCTTACGGAGGAATAATTAAGGAAGAAATAATAACAATGTAACGAAGGGCACGTATTGTATTCCTTCTCACACAGGCGGGCTGCAGACTGCAGTAACCTATAGCAACAAGCCGGAACTCGCCAAGGTCACCGCGCTCGGCACGCCGTCCATGGCCGGCCCAGACTGAACCCCCGATGAGGCCGGCAGCCGATAACGGGGAATGTTGTGGTGTACAACGTTCGGGAGATTCTCCCGGCTTCCTGGACCTGTAATTAATGGGGATCCTGCGCGATCCGTCTGTGCGCCGGCGATCCCATGGCGTCTAATTACCGCGCAAAGACGTCCTAAGCCTCCTAATAACCCGACAATGCGGCCGAGAGTTCCCAGATTCCTCGCTGACAGAACTCCATACATGATGGAATGAGCGTTCTTCTCCGACCGCCGAGGGCCGAGAGAACCCCCATCCCTGGCACACAGGCAGCGCCGCATCGAGCTGCAGAGCCAATCAGAACTTTACTATCACATTCACAAATATTCTGTCGCTGAGGCGCTCCAGTGTTTGCTCCAGAATTGTAGCGATCAGACTTACATTGTAATCATTTCACGATATTTTTTTTTTTTTTAAATTATCAAAAAAAGAATTAAAAAAATATAAGTTTCATCGCCATGGGATCCATTAGATCACGGGTCACCGAACTTTTTAAACAAAAGGCCAGTTTACTGCCCTTCAGACTTTAGGGGGGCCGGACTGTGCAAAGTGGGAGTAAACAATGCCCAATCTTCAGAATTAGGAGGAGATATAGTTGGTGTCAGTTGCAGGAATAATGCCCCATCATTGGTGTCAGTGGGACGATTGGTGCCCCATCATTGGTGTCAGTGGGAGGAATAGTGCCCCATCATTGCTGTCAGTGGGAGGAATAGCGCCCCATCATTGGTGTCAGTGGGTGGAATAGTGCCCCATCATTGGTGTCAGTGGGAGGAATAGTGCCCCATCATTGGTGTCAGTGGGAGGAATGGTGCCCCATCATTGGTGTCAGTGGGACGAATGTTGCCCATCATTGGTGTCAGTGGGACGAATGGTGCCCTATCATTGGTGTCAGTGGGACAAATGGTGCCCCATCATTGGCGTCAGTGGGACAAATGGTGCCCCATCATTGGCGTCAGTGGGACAAATGGTGCCCCATCATTGGCGTCAGTGGGACAAATGGTGCCCCATCATTGGTGTCAATGGGACGAATGGTGCCCCATCATTGGTGTCAATGGGACGAATGGTTCCCCATCATTGGCGTCAATGGGGGGGAATAGTGCCCCATCAGTGGGAGGAATAGTGCCCCATCATTAGTGTCAGTGGGAGGAATAGTGCCCCATCATTGGTGTCAGTGGGAGGAATAGTGCCCCATCATTGGTGTCAGTGGGAGGAATAGTGCCCCATTGGTATCAGTGGGAGGAATAGTGTCCCATCATTGTATCAGGGGGAGGAATAGTGCCCCATCATTGGTATCAGTGGGAGGAATAGTGCCCCATCATTGGTGTCAGTGGGAGGAATAGTGCCCCATCATTGGTGTCAGTGGGAGGAATAGTGCCCCGTCATTGGTGTCAGTGGGAGGAATAGTGCCCCGTCATTGGTGTCAGTGGGAGGAATAGTGCCCCGTCATTGGTGTCAGTGGGAGGAATAGTGCCCCATCATTGGTGTCAGTGGGAGGAATAGTGCCCCATCATTGGTATCAGTGGGAGGAATAGTGCCCCATCATTGGTGTCAGTGGAGGAATAGTGCCCCGTCATTGGTGTCAGTGGAGGAATAGTGCCCCGTCATTGGTATCAGTGGGAGGAATAGTGCCCCATCATTGGTGTCAGTGGGAGGAATAGTGCTCCAAGGGCCAGATAAAGGCATGCAAAGGGCCACATGCAGGCCCCCGGCTGCCGTGTGGAGACCACAGGAACAGGCTGATCACTTTAACCCCCTTTTCCTTTAGAAGAACATAGCAGGCAATATGGGGGTGTCCCTCACCTGAGAAATGATCTGTGCCCGCCCCCTGCACTACCACCGCTCTCCCCCCCTCTTCCATTCACAGAAAGGTGCTCCAATAGAACTGACTCCAGGGTGTCCATATAGGGAACAGTTTCCCTTTGTAAAAAAATAAATTACTGAATCAAAAATATTGGCGCCGCACGTCCCTCATAAATCCAAAGCCAGCAAATAACAGCTTCCAGTAATACGTTCCACTTAGCGCGTCCTCCAACGTCTGAGCCGGCGGCACAATTATACGACAAACCGAGAAGACTTATCTTCAGAGATTTCACGCAGATTCGGGTTCACGCAGCTTATAAATCAAAATCTCCTCGTTGTAGGAAGACGTTAGAATGTGATCTCCCGGATCTCCGCCGTACGACGCATCCCCACCAGACGTTAGTAAAAGCTGAAGATTCGCTCTCTTGTTCCGTCACCTGACTCAGTCAATAAATCTCCAATGAAATGATGAAATTGAAACGATTGTAAAGATGACGCCTCTGAGATGAATCAAAGGAATGAGGTCAGGAGTACAGAAGGCGCCAATCGGTACCCTCACCCACGCTGCCGGCGCCAACCAGGTTATCAGATTGTGCGTGTTTATGGAGCAGTCTGGGCTGGTGGGTGATCAGATCGAGTCTGTCTGACCACCGCCTATGCTCAATGGTCAGCCCAGAGATTTTTATGTCAGACTCCCATTTTGGTCAACAATGATGCCCAGAAGCCAATAAATGGGCTTCTACATGCAAATCCCCGAGGACAGCAACTAATGCTTTAGATACTCCACTATTTAACATGGTAAGAGGACATGTCTCAATCGACTACCAATATAGGAGGACACGTCTCATTTGACCACCAGTGTAGGAGGACATGTCTCATTTGACCACCAATGTAGGAGGACAAGTCTCATTTGACCACCAGTGTAGGAGGACATGTCTCATTTGACCACCAATGTAGGAGGACAAGTCTCATTTGACCACCAATGTAGGAGGACATGTCTCATTTGACCACCAATGTAGGAGGACATGTCTCATTTACCACCAATGTAGGAGGACATGTCTCATTTGACCACCAATGTAGGAGGACATGTCTCATTTGACCACCAATGTAGGAGAACAGGTCTCATTTGACCACCAATGTAGGAGGACATGTCTCATTTGACCACCAATGTAGGAGGACATGTCTCATTTGACCACCAATGTGAGAGGACATGTCTCATTTGACCACCAATGTGAGAGGACATGTCTCATTTGACCACCAATGTGAGAGGACATGTCTCATTTGATTACCACCAATGTGAGAGGACATGTCTCATTTGACCACAATGTGAGAGGACATGTCTCATTTGATTACCAATGTGAGAGGACATGTCTCATTTGACCACCAATGTAGAGGACATGTCTCATTTGACCTACCAATGTGAGAGGACATGTCTCATTTGATTACCAATGTGAGAGGACATGTCTCATTTGACCACCAATGTGAGAGGACATGTCTCATTTGATTACCAATGTGAGAGGACATGTCTCATTTGACCACCAATGTAGGAGGACATGTCTCATTTGACCTCTAATGTAGGAGGACTCGTCTCATTTGACCTCCAATGTAGGAGGACTCGTCTCATTTGACCTCCAATGTGAGAGGGACATGTCTCATTTGATTACCAATGTGAGAGGACATGTCTCATTTGATTACCAATGTGAGAGGACATGTCTCATTTGACCACCAATGTGAGAGGACATGTCTCATTTTGATTACCAATGTGAGAGGACATGTCTCATTTGACCACCAATGTAGGAGGACATGTCTCATTTGACCTCCAATGTAGGAGGACTCGTCTCATTTGACCTCCAATGTAGGAGGACTCGTCTCATTTGACCTCCAATGTAGGAGGACTCGTCTCATTTGACCTCCAATGTAGGAGGACATGTGTCATTTGATCACGAATTTGATAGGACATGTCTCATTTTACCACCAATGTGAGAGAACATGTCTCATCTGACCACCAATGTAGGAGGACATATCTCTACTGACCACCATTGTAAGAGGATAGAATTTGGGTGAAGGGCTGGGATCATGCCCTCTTTGGTTGTTATGCAAGACTCCACATTGGTCAACGAAGTCTAGAAGCTACAGAGCCAATAGATGGGCTTCCACATCCAACTCCCGACTAACGCTTTAGATACGTTACTCCACTGACCACCAATGTAAAAGGACACGTCTCTACTTATTAACTTAACACTTTTCTAATAACCACCAATATAAGAGGACATGTCTCCACTGACCACCACGTTAAGATGGACAGAATTTAGGGTCAAGGGCTGGGATCATGACCTCTTTGATTGTTATGCCAGATTCCATATTGGTCAACAATGAAGCCCAGAAACTAAACAGCCAAAGGATGGGCTTCCACATCTATCCCTGAGGAAAATGACTAGAGCTTTAGATATTCTACTCCACTGATCACCAAAGTAAGGTGACGCAGCTCCACTGGCCAGCAAATGTAATAGGACATGTCTTTACTGACCACCAATGTAAGGGGACACATCTCCAATGATCACTAAATGTAAGAGGACATGTGACCACCATTGTGAGAATGATAGAATTTAGGGTCAAAGGCTGAGATAATGCCCTCTTTGATTGTTATGTCAGTGATTCCATATTAGTCAACAATGGTGCCCAGAAGCTACACAGCCAATAGATGGGGTTCAACATCCACCTGCCCAAGGACAATGACTAACACTGTAAACACAATACAATGTAAGAGGACGTTTCTCTAAAACCACCAATGTAAGAGGACACATCTCCAATGACCACTAAATGTAAGAGGACATGTCTCCACTGAGATCACGCCCTCTTTGATTGTTATGCCAGACTCCATAGAGAACACGTCTCCACTGACCA